ACAGCTCGAGCTTTACCGCTGGGAATCTTGCGTCTCTCCATCGCCGAGATCGTTCGAATTACTGCGCCACCTAACGTGTGCTTTATCAACGGGTGGTAGCAGCGCCATCCCACTGGAAACCCGAGTAATTTCACACTGAGACAAGGAGAGTGGAGATAAGGGCGGAGAAACGTGATGTTCACTGAATCTGCATGATTTTTTTTTTTAAAGTAGATACAGGAAAAAGAAGAGATTGGAGTGGAATTAGTGGCTATTTCCTTCTTTTTATTTAAAATTAAAGATCCTCTCCTTTTTTTTTTCTTTTTTTTTTTGCTCTCTTAGTTTTCATCTATTTTAACATTTTTGCCCCTGTGGTGTGATTAATAAGAGTCGACAGTGTTTCCAGACGGGAGACGTTAAAAATACACAACCCAGAGATAAAGAGGAAGGGCCTGTCGCCTGAATCATTCAGGAACTCACTTTGTATGTATTCTTTCAGCACGCACACACACAGGGAGAGAGGCGCACTGTGGCACATGGCACCGGGCTGGAGGGCTGTGTCATCCCAAGTAATCTGTGCATGTCTGTGGGAGGTTTTTGTGCGTTGTGCCACAGCAGTGATTACATGTGGTCTTTTATCAGCTTTGTTGCAGGAAGACCCAAAGTCAAGCATCAAACCCCACCCCCACCCCTTTCCCCCTCAAAAAAAAAAAAAAAAGAAGCTACAGAGGGACTGTGATGGTAGTTGTGTCAGCTGACTCACAATAGCTTTCTGCCTTTGTCTCTCTCGCTGCTCGGCCCTCTCGAACTCCTGCTTCTCGTAGTCCCGGCGGTACTCCTCCCTCTTCAGCCTCTCGTGCTGGTACTCCTCGTAGCTGTCATACCTGTGGAGACGAGGACATATTGCGAGATCACTCCCTCATCCTCTAAATTTGCCCTTCCCGTTGATGCTTATGAAGAACAATCACCAATATTTGGCGCGAAGAGAAGGAGACAGAAACGTTAATAAGATGTCTTTTTCGCCACCGCCACGATTGCGAAGCCCGCGAGTGAGGCCCGCGGGAGTGCCGGCGAGCAGCGCAGTCGGGGAGCCGAGCAGCTGCAACTGTCAGCACAACTTCACATGTCATTACTTTCTGCTTAGTTAGGGCTTCATCAAGAAGGAAAGTGCAACTTTCTCCCCCAGCCTGGAACAGTACGAGACGTGTCCGTTAAGTTTTCGACTGATGAGCGACTCTCGGGCTTGTCGGGTGTCATTAGGCGCGTGGGTGCCAAATCAGCTCGGAGCACTGGGATGGTGTCAGTCTGTCTCTCTGTCTCTGTTTCAGCACAGCGCGAGTACATCTCTGCATATGAAATGGTCCCCTCTGCAGTGGCTCATGCAAAACTACAGAGGCAGTAAGTTGAATAAGTGGCATTATACAGCTGGGAGCGTCAGCTCGCGGGTGCGGCATGAACGCGCATCAGTGTGATTCTTTTGTCACTCGTCTAATAAAACACGATCAATTAAACATATTTGCCCTGCATGTTTGTCACCCCCCCCACCCCCCGCCATCCCCCAACCCGTTGGGACAGGATGCTCCTGAGGCCCGGCTGTGGAAAGGCATTCACAAAGAACTCAAAGGATTTCTGAGCGGTGACAGCAAAAAGTGGTGCTATGCTTTCATGCACGCCATTAAGAAATCGTAAGAAGAAAAAACACACAGAAAAACCAAACATTTGTCGTGACCCGAAGCGTGTAACTAAAAGTTTTAAGCACATAACAAATTGAAGGTTAAATGACTCATTTAAAACAATCACCTTGGCCTGCGGCTCAGAGGAGATCGAGGCTGGGGGTGGGGGCTCTTGTGATTCCTGGAACGAAAAGCATTCAAATCTGTGCTGTGACGAGACCTGAAGGGAAAAATAAAGTTAAAAGTCACTTTTTTTTGCAAAAACAAAGGATATGCGTTCATATATTTCTGTTTACTGTTGCAAACGTGTGACATTTGGTTAATTTGCTTTTGCTTTAAGAACTAAATTCACCTCTTAGAGATGCACAGGGCCCATTAGTCTGCATTAAAGAGCGTCGTCTCCTCTCCTTGTGCTGACCTAACACAACCCTGGCCTCGGAAAATGTGCTTGATTTGCTGCAGGATTTTTATACGCATCTGCGCTAGCATACGTGCATGTGCTATCTATGTTGTATGAAGACGTGGTCAATACTTATGGCCTTAGTGGCCTCACTGTGGAGCTAGTTTCCCTACACTGCTCGAGCTTCTGATGCTTAAATATTTAAGTGCTGCTGAAGAAGGAAGACCTGAATAATGGAAGGAGAGAAGTTTGGGAAGCTCAGTGAAGCAAAGGAATGCCAGTTTGGAAAGATCAAGGATCTTAGGCTGCGAAATCTTAAAACAGTGAGGAGGGATTTAGAGAATTATTTCTCTGAAATTCTGTTTATCTTCTCCTGCGTGGAACTATAACAAGCTTACTGCTCTGTCACGTTCAAACTCCAATCCCTATGCAGCGTTTTCAGAAAGCTTGTCAGTGTCAGATTTTGATGCAACGCCTTGAGACTATTACTGTATAATTTGTGAGCGAGAGCGAAGAACAAGGGCCCGAATAGAATAAAGTGATTCTATTGGCTCCGTGGAGTAAACTGACCTTTCAGTAATCATGCAAACAAACTGAGTCACAGCGGTGGAGTCGTACACTGGGAGTCACTCAATGAGCCGCTCCTGACAAACTGAATTTATTCACATCCCTCTCGGTTACTCCAGTTTGCCTCTGTTCTTTCACCAAAAGAACCCAACCAGAATCCCCCTCGGCTCTGATCAAAGGGAAGCATGGGAAATGTAGTTCTCCCAGAAAGCTATGATGATAGGAGTCTTTTTTAGAGAGGGGTTTGGAGACTATATTCCCACAGACTGGTTCTCGCTTTCATCTCTGGGGATGTAAAAGACGAGGGTTTGCCACTCAGTAAAAACAACAGCTGCCGCTTAAAACAATAGCCGGAGCATCAAACAAAAAACGGGAGCATGCAAGGGAGTGAGTGAGAAGGGGGGTGGGTGGGTGAGAGTGTTAGAAAGACACTCAAATAAAACTCCCTGCCTAGAGATGAAAACTCACACTGTTCAAAAGTCCAGTGCCTCTGGCACCTTTCATGTTCTGTTTTTTTTCTTCTCTTTTGTCCTTTGTCTGTTAGTTAAGGGGGGGACCATTCAACTAATCTTTTTCCCCCATTGTCAGCTCAGATCTAAGTGTCACCTGGCATAAAGGAATCATCTGAGTCGTGTAACAACTGCAATATGGTTTGAATCTATTCCATCACAGAATAGCAGGAAGTGAAGAAATCCTAAAAAGGTCAGGTCACGGTCTATCAGAGCAGTTTTTTAAATATTCTGAGTCAAAATCACATGCGGAAAGGGAGCGTTGAAGGGCGTGACCATGTTGTTTTAAAAATGGGCATACAAGGTGGTGTAAACATTTCTGAGAAGTGGTTTCCTGCTTGCTATGAGTCCTGTTTAAACTGCATAACTTTGAGGTGGAGCAGCCAAGTAAAAGAACAAAAAAGGGAGGAGGGGGAGTCTGGGGAAGAGACCGATAACTTACCAGGAGGACGGGCGTCTGTCGGGTGAGCTGGAGAGAGAGCGCCTGCGGTATCGTGAAGAGGAGCTGCGGGACCCAGACTGGGAACGGGAACGAGAGCGGGACCCGCTGCCGGCCCAGCAGGAAGGTCTGCTGGGTGACAGGAGCAGGGAGGAAGGTGGAGAGACAGAGCCTCGTGAAGGGGAGCAGCTGGATGGTGGGGAAGAAGAGGGAGAGCAGGGGGCGCAGTCAAAGAGTAGATCCAGAGGGGTGCCCTCCCATGGAAAGAGGAATCGACTTTCACGGCTCTCGTCCAGCTCTAGTTCGTCGTGGAAGGCCAGAAACCCCGGGTGAAGGTAGCTGGAGGCAGGCAGCCTCTGGGGGTAGCAGTCATTCTCTCCCCCCTCGAGGGACTGAGGAGCTGTAGCATTGTTCGTTTTGCTGCTTGATTCTTTTTCCTGGCTACCCGGGCTGTAGAGGGCTTGCAAAGGGTAGCCAAAGTGCTTGTTAAGTTCTGCTCGGATTTCCTGGTCGCACAGGAGCTTTCGGCTGGTGGCGCAAAGATTGTGTTGGTCCCTGTCAATAGTGGCCTCTTGTGAGGGGATCTGAGCGGTTTGTGTGAGGGCGTGCTCCCCTAACCCCCGAACCTGGCCCGCCTCTCCATCCACAGACCCAAAATTCTGCTGTTTAGCCAAAAAACCAGGTGAAGCTGATGATGGAGGAAATGATGAAGATGACGGTGGCATGGCTGAATCCTTAAATTCCACATGCCTGCTCTCCACTTTGCCTTCAGCAGGCACTGGAGCATCAGTGGCACCTGAGGTGAATGTCATTTTCACAGCTGTGGTTGTGGTAACAGTGGCTGAGCCCCCATCCTTCTTATTACCAGCTGTTGCCTGGCAATAGTCATGGTCGCTGTAGTTACGGGGCGTTGCCCGCTTAGTGTTGCCGGTGCTGCGATACTCCTCAAGGCCGCCCCCCACTGCGTGTTGAGTGACGGAGTAAGGGAGGGTGGTGGTTGCTTTGCTCAGTTGGGCGTAAAGCTCAGTCTGTTCAGGACCCTTCCTGGTGGGGCCCCTGCCTGAGGCACCTGGGGCCGGGGCCAGAGCGCCGGGGCCCAACTCACTCAGCCTGGCTCTTTTGCATGCCAAGGCCGAGGAGGAACATGAAGACAACTTGGTTTTGAGAGATGCTTTGAAAGGATTCTCTTGACTGGCTTTGTGTGGGGGCGTGGTAGGTGGTGTCAAACCTGCGAGGGGAGGAAGAGACACAGGTTGGGTTGGGAACAGTAAAATGAAAATGGAATCATAACGCAAACCTCCCCACCTAGCCCCTCCCTCCTCTGCCTCCTCGCCCACACTCCTCTATAAACTCCCGGGTCAGTTTATGGACAGTGGACACAGATACATGCCTGATTAAAATATTCACTTTCCCTCGGCCTAATCCTATTTTATTGCAATCTTGACAGATTAATGTAATGCTTGGTGTAACTTGATATGGCTGCACTGTAATACGGATGACTTGCCATTCTCTACCTCGCTGACCTTGAAAAGATCCCTTTTCGTGGAAAAAAAAAGAAAGGAAAAAATATAACCCCGGAAAGGACAAACGTAATGCATCTGATAGCAGGCAGGAAAAAAATTAAAGTGAATGTATCATATCTCTGCCCGCTTCATAGAAACGTCTGGTTTCATTCCGATGAATTGGCCGCCGTCCCGCGCCAAGACACTTTTGCGTGTGTGTGTGTAGTCTCAAAGAACAGTTGTGTGTGTGACGCAGTGCATGTTTAAAGATTAGCCAGCACCATCCACATTTTCTGTATGAAGAGAACTGGATGTCACCGCTCTTAATGTTGCCTTAGCAAGCCTGGTGGTGGATCACTGGAAGCACTGGGAATAGGTTAACATTCCTTTCAGATGGCATGTCCCTATTGGATGTGCCCCCCGCCTCCTCTTGCTTCCCTCTCCCTCACAGATTTACAACCAGACAGATGGCAGTTATATGGGAAGTCCTGAGATGAGCCCACTTTATAGCATTGTTAATGCACTCACACAAACAGCCGACACCATTACTCTCGTTCTCCCCTTTCCTCCTCTTCCTCGTCGATCGCCCCCTTTTCGCTTTAGTTCGAGTCTGCCGTTCCGCCCTGTTCTCTCTTCCCGTCTGCCACCTTCCACCAGATCAATCTCTCCTTCTCCGGCTCTGTCTCCCTGCATCTTTTCCTGTTTTTATCTTCCGCAGAACAAATGTGCCCACACACGCAGGCACACTCATCGCTAACAGACTCTCACTGGAGTCAAACTCAGGCACTTTGAAACACCTACGCTCTCCCCTCTTCTTTGCCATTCTTATAATGCAGATCATTCTTCCCTTGCTGGCGAATTGCACCAAATGACAGCTATTAGTATCAAATCCCGTGTTAGGATGTGCACCGGAAAGACAGCCTGGCAACGAGCGTGTGGGATCGCAAAACATAAATGTGCATGTTTCGGCTGTGTTTGGAAGGCCTGATCCACCAGCTTATCATCCTACTTATTATCTGGATGTGCCTATAAGTAGGACTGAAAGCGCCCACTCCCCTTCCTCCCTTCCTTTCCTTCTCCCTTCTCGCTCTCCTCTGTCTCGTTCTCTCGCTCACTTTTCCCCCCCCCCTCTTCCCCAGTCATGATAGCGAGACAGACATATATTTGCATTATGCCAATTAAATGAGCTTTGGAAATGAGAAAGGAGAGACGCAGAGAGGGAGAGTGGATGCTACACAATGCCTGAAGAACTTCTGTTTCACCAATCAAACGCCATCTGTCCAAAACAACGTACGCACGGGGTCATAAACTAGGAGCCATTAGCGATAGGCGGAAATAAATCAGAATTAGATAAAAATGTGCCTCTCAGTCAAACTTGCTAGTGATGGATGATCTGCAGGTGTGAGCACCAATCATGCGGGCCCCGGAGAGAAAGCGGTGGCGCAGCGATCGAGGCAGAAAGAGGCAAGGTTTTGGGGGGGTTTTTTGGTTTTTTTTTTATAGTTCTATTTTCTCGTCCAGCTGCAAATTGTGAAGGGACCTCGGAGCGAAAAACAACTCCAGGCTTAAAGAGTTGATCCGGCAGTAAGCTAGGCAAATAACAACACACATACCACCTCTGTGTCATGAGATACAGTAATTAAAGACAACACAGCCGTACAGGGTAAATCTATTAGCTTGATAGAGATTAGGTCTGAACAGTCAGATCCCGGGGGGGGTTGCTCACCGTACCTCTCCGAGAAGGGTCAAGATAACATGCAGTCAAACAGTCCAAACCTCACTATTAATAACTACTAATCATCACTCGAGTAGGTACAAAGTGTACAAGTCCTCACAATTAAATTTATCTTTCTTTTAATGAGTGGTTACTGCTACTACAACTCATCATAAAGGCATAAAGTAATAAACTACTGGAAGCAAGTCAAGGAAAATTCCACCAGCGCATGGTCAACCTGCCTTGGGAGTAGAAGGTGGAACCGCCCACCTGGTAGACTGCCATTTGATTATCAGTAACACCACCCTTTATCTCTATTGTAGTGGGATGATTCTCTAAATCTACGAACGACGTGTAAGTCCGAACCTAAAAGCTGACAACTCTGCTTACTGGGATCTATATCCATCTGTCTCGTACAGCGCTGAGACTCAAAAGCTAATCTCTAAGTGAGAAAGGCGCTCAGCAGCCCAGAGCTTTCTGGACTAATGACTTTCCTGCTAATATTCAATCCTACATTTTCCACAGAACGGGTTTAAGTCAGGTGAAAGGCTTTATTTGACCGTGCTTATAAAATGGATGTGTTGGAAAAGAACAGACGGCTTAGATTTGGCCACAGGTCAACAGACTCGCCTACGTGCAGTAAAAGCGGAAGAAATATTAACTGCGTTTGATTGCCACAGAGATTAAGGGGCATTGCTCTTTCCAATCTTTAGGTCTCAACAGACATCCCCCCTCTGACCCTGAAAGCTTATCTACATAAATGGGTTAAACAGCACTTCAGCCAAACTGAGAAGGACAGGGGGATACCTCTGGAGGTTTGCTTTTCCACCCCCACAGGATCTAAGTAGAAGACAGGGGGTATTATGAGGACCATTTCCCTTGCTAGTAAATAAATAGACAAAAGGGCCAGGGCTGCTTTTTTGTTTTATTGACCTTAGGTAATTAATCGTAAGAAAACGTGGTAATTACTAACATCATTGACATAAAGAGCGAAAGAAATGGATGACCTGCAATACTGCAGCTTTTCCCCTCACATTTCCGTCCCTTTTGTCTTTTAAATACCAATTACATATAGTTTTTTTTTCTAATTTAGCTGAGCATAACTCAATAACACGGAAGGATGAAGTGACTGATAATGAAGAAATATCCCCAGTTTGGCAACATCTACGCAGCTGCCTGTGTCCACAGGGAATTTGAGTAAAGAAGGCGCTGATCATACAGGCAAAACTCAATTACACAGCAAAACCCAATGAAAACAGCAGCCATCTGAATTTTCCCTGCCACGTGTAGGCTAAAGCTCCTTTTACTCATACACCGCTTCCCATTTAATTTGACCATGTATGAACATGTTGGTTTCATGTACGAATGAGCCTCCTGGTCCCATTACTGCAAAGGTAATCTTTCAAATTTGGACCTCATACACATTCACGCGTCGCTTTCACGACTGCAAAACGCCCCCCGTGAATTGCTCAGCTCAGTAAAACATGACTTGTTAAGGAGAACCAGTTGAACAGCACAGGAATAAAATTAACGTGTGCGTAATAACGTAATAACAAGAGCCCGTGTGATTGGGGCAGGGGCAGCTTTCTCAGCAGCACCGTGCAGCGCGCAAAGCTCCTGCTCTTTGCGAAGTTTTCAAACACCTGACTATACTTCACTTGTGTCCATGCGGACCATATGTGCAACGATTCCTTTGCACTTCTTTGTCACTGTCGCGGTTATGTCTGAATGAGCTTTAATGCAGCCGTGACCTACGTCTAAATGACAGGATGCCATTACTTGAACAGATTGATGAAGCCAGCATAGTTGTGTATTCTGCGCCTGGAGAGGGCTTGAGTGAGCTGTCAGTCAGAGAGCATTAGGATCTGGTGGAAGGAAAGGTATATTAACTCTTCACTAACAAACCAGTGGGAGTGGTAGGGGAATGGGAGGAGTTTGCTAATAAAAGCCGAGGAGATTGGAAGACCTAATCAATACTTAGGCGCATAAAATTGATCTCCTTATGTCTTCACCTTGAACTCTGAACTGTGATGGAACCCGAAAGGAATTAACCCATTACTGCCTACCACAGCTATAAGTACTCGGCCGGTCATTTAAAAAGAATTTATATTGTCAGAAAAAGTCTGCTTACCTGGGGTTCCAGCAATCTCCACACTTAATGTGCGTTCAGTGGTTTTGTTCTCAAACGGTGATCCCTTGTAGTCACTGGAAGACAAAATAAAACGTAGAACGTCTTACTTCACAGGTGAGAGTAAGACTAAAGAAAGATGTAATGACCTAAAGAAATGGAAATGAATCACAAAAATGCCTCAGGTTGGATGCTAGTCTATATAGCTTTCTTTGATTTTGTCTTTTTTTCTGTAGTTTCGATGTTGCCTTTTTTTTGCCTAGAATAATGTGGAAAAACTTCTCACACTTACTTTGGAGACTCTGGGGTCAAAGGAAGTGGCAAGGTGGTTGGTTTGGCTGCAGAACACAAAGGAGCATGGGTAATTATTAATCTAAGTATAACACTCATGGTAGAAGAGAACAGATCCACAGTCTGCAACAATTAATCCCAAATTGGCTCAACAAATGCAAATATTACTACGAAAAAAGAAATAAAAAAAAACACCCATTTCTAGTTAGAAAGCCTTACTATGGAGACTATTGTACAGAGTATATCTTTTTTTAGATTGACCCCATTTAAAAAATTTATTCTCTTAGGATAGACTGTTCACTCTGTGAGGCAGGATGAAGTGATGGTACGTGTTTCACAGGTGTCTAGACACAGACACCACGCTCAAGACAACAAACAGATCGAAATGGAAAAAGACATACAGAGAGAGAGACGATGCCACAAACAAGACACATGACAGTGGGTGAGCCCCTCCCTAGACAATAAAGTCATAATCGCATGCACCAACAGCAGAGGAGGGGGGAGAAAAGAAAAACAAAAAGAAGGAAGAAAGGAGAGTCAAGGAAGCTTGTGCAGTTGCCCGAGGCTCTGGCCGGCTTGTGCTCCAGCTAAGAGAAGTGTGGCTTTAGTAGCGCGATTCTAGAGAGCAGCACTGGGGCTCTGAGTCTAAATGTACATATTCAGCACACTCAGCTCAATCAGCCAAAGATGATTCAAGGATTGGCTTTGCGAATACAAGACGTACAGTAGCAAGACATGGCTCACCCCTTTTCCCACCCCCTCCTTTGTTTTTTCAAAGACAAAAAAAAAAACCCCACTCATTTTTGAAAATTGAAAAGAGTGCCTCTGCGACTAGCAAAAAGCATTGGCGAGCAGGCTGTTTTGCTGTCATTGTTGTTGATGCCCTAACAATGACTTGTTAGATTCAAATTAGGACAGGGGGTTAGTCGTGAAATCAAACCGGGAAGTGGTTAAAGCAAGAGAGGGAGAGAAGAGAGCAGAGATAAGGCCAGTGGGGGGGATGCAGTTCATGATTACCTAACAATGGGTGGCCCTGGTCATCGGGGTGCTCGCTGAGTGCCTGCATGTGTGGGTGCCCTTGCCCTTGTATGATGCAGGGAGGGGTGGGCTCTGCAATGCTAGTATCTGGGAGGAGTGGGCTCGGTGGGCCCTGTGAGAGCACCGCTGCGGGGCTGCCCATGACATGGTCATCATCATCATCATCACCATCAACAACAACACCATCATTATCATCATCATCATCATCATCATGGTTAACATCCTCCCTGTAGCCCCCCTGGCTTGGCCACCCCAGATCTAGTCCAAAGGCAATGTCTAGCCCTGGATCTGGCTGGTTAACCCAGCTCTCTAGGTCAAAGGTGAGAGGTGACAACAGGGGCCTTGAATCAGGCTCCTCAGCTTGACTTACTCCCTTGTTTCTATCATCAGTGGTCCCTCTGAGCTCCTTCTCCGCCTTAACCTTAGAAAAAGCCCGGGCTGGACTCTCAGACCTCGCTTCTGCTAATTTGCTCTTACTGCTCCGTAAAGGGGTAATGGGAGTATGCGGGAGGACACGGGCCTGATACTGAGCGGGCCTGTTTTTGGAGGTGAGCAGCTGGCTAAGTAACGGGTGCCCCGGCTTCTCGTCTCTTTTCTTTATAGTCACTGTGATGTGCCTATGTGGCGCACGGCTGGCACTGTTACTGTTGCTACGGCCTTGCCTGCCAAAGCCCTCACGAGCCTGAGTGGCGCCTGCAGCCTCTCGGCAATGCTCACAGCTGTGACTCGCCTCTCGGGGAGGGAGGGAATAAGAGTGCATATACCTAATAAACCTAGCGGCGGCCAGGCGGCCCGCATCGCCTGGCGGCCTTCCTTCTTCACTGGGCGGCCCATGCTCCAGTTTGGGGCGGGCATGGCCGCAGGCGGAGCTTCTGTGGCCAACAGGGATAGTAGCACCCTCCGACTCCTCAAACCCGTCATCGTGAGCGCAACGCTGCCACTTCCCAGCCCCAAGACCAGCCATACTACACTCGCCTCCAGCCCGGCTCTCACCTCGCTGGTGATGCTGCTGTGGCGGCTGCTGCTGCTGCTGCTGTTGATGAGACGGCACAGCCGGCTTCTTCTTGGAGGTGGTAGAGGAAGAGGAGGAAGAGGTGGAGGAGAGGGAGGAGAACGAGGAGGTGGATGACGAGGACGGTGAAGAGGAGGAAGAAGAGGCACCGAGACCCATGCCACTCTTGTCCCTGCTACTAGCACCCCCCCAGGCGCTCTTGGCTTCGCTGGCTTTGGCGTGGAGGAGGATGTCATCGGTGGCGGTTAGGTATTTCAGCAGCTCGGTGCAGGGCCGCCTCACCGGGCGGTTCTGTTGGCTGGAGCCCCCTCTTGCTTTGCCGTTCCAGGGGCTCTCCGTCTGCGGAGGGACGAGCAGAGAGAGAGCGAATGACTTAGTTAGCTCCAATAAAAAGTTTTGCACAGTGCAGCTGATCTAGTTGCGAGAAATGTTAAGTATTTTATTTGAAACAAAAACAAAAGTAGAAAAGAGACGGAGGCATGGAGAGCCTAACAGTGTGACTCAAACAGCTCGAGCGCAGTGGTTGCCCAACTGTCTAGGAGGCGATGGTGGGAGTGCTGTCCGCCCATCATTTTAATTGCGTGGCCCCCCGAGCGCCACCGCGCCACTCTGTACGCACACCACGTCCTCCGGGAGTCCTCATTCGCTCTGCTCCAGAAACGGATGACTCAAAGACACAGTATGAAAATAGACTCTGTGAAGAAGGGTTGACGCACTGCATGTGCAAACACGGTACGCAGAGCTAACATATGTCTGCGCCGCATTCACCACACAGTGAGATACAGATGTTCTTTACATTGTGATGATTTTGTGCATGCGTTAAAGCATAACAAATGCAGATTTCAGACAGTCCTACCGAGCAAGAGAACACAATTAAGTTCTATATGCTGATATGACACTGAATGCGCAGTATGCCACATTCTTGCGTGAAATGCAAACGGGTGAGAGTGAAATAATCCCATTTTTTCATTTAGCAGAATTCACAAAACCTGTGATACTTACGCTGACTAAAATTAAATCTTAATCAAACCCACCCCTATAGAAAAACACTCTCTTCAGAGCCATCTAATGAGTACATCAAGTCTGATATTTTGATCTTGTCGTCTCAAGGCATCAATCTCGCCGCAAGAGCTCCTGTCGCTGCTTTTTTTTTTTCCTTTCTTTTTTTTTCCCGTCCTCCAACAGGCACCATACCAAGGCGGATAAGTGGTGGAGCTAATGAGACAACGGTGCCGACGCCTCGCCTGGAAAGCCCAACAGCAATCAGCCTGTTTTCATTACGAGATGGCCCCCTGGGACAGTAGACTGCTAGAGCAGAAGTCTAACATCTTCTAAAGGCGGCCACCAAAACAGGCAAAAAAAAAAAAAAAGTGAGAAGGAGGGAGGGTGAGCAAGTAGCGAGAGAGAGCAAGAAAAGAGTGAGAGAGATAAACAAACACAAACAGGAAAAAAAATGTGTGTACGGGAGTGAAATCAACAGCGTGTGCGTGTGTGTGTGTGTGACTCCCTACCTTGACGACGGCAGGTGGTGGTCTGATCCGGTGGTTGCTGCTGGCTGCATGGTTCTGTGCCTTGCCACCTGTGTATTGATTATAGCTGAGCTGGGAGTTTGCGGGTGCCAGAAGGAGTTTCTTCAGCTGCGAATGGACCCAAACAGAACCAGAAAGGTGGTAGAGGAAGAAGGAGGAGGGGGAGGAGCGGGGAGTCAGCGTGGGTTATGCAAATGGCACCTTTTAATTCAATTCGACTTTATTTAAACAGTGCCAGTTTACGGCGGCAGTCATTTCAGAGCACTTTACATTGTAAGGTAAAAGATTTACAATGGCAGCCTTTCAGTTACTTTCATTTTTTAACTCTCCAGTTAAAAAAAGGCTTCTTTTTTTTAACTTAAGTGCATGCTACGTGACATGAAAAGTCAAGCCTCTTTTTTTTTTCCAGTGCAGGTGTTTTTGTGTACACACCACTAGGCTTCTCTAATGTGATTGAATAAACACGCTCAGGCATTTGGCTAAAGGTCATTTGGAAGGGACCAGCATGGAATAAAATGGACTACAATGTCACATAACATAACATTTTAGGTCAAAGCCTATAAGCTAGAGAAAAACCCAGATGGCACGAACGTGTGTAAAAATAACAGCACCAAGGTAGGCCGAGTTCTTATTTGTGGTGGTGGGGATGGGGGTGTTTGCCAAAAGAGATGACTCCGGCACAAGGGGATTAGCCGAGACCCTGCTGAGAGCAGACGAGATGAGATAGATTTCCTTCCCCCCCGACTTTCATTACGTCCCGGCTTGATTTCAGGGCCGGTGGCACTGTGTCAGCCGTAGTTGTCCCCAACCACAGCGTTCGTATCACTGAACTGGCGCCACGATAGCGCTGTTATGTAATTAGCGCTGAGCAGCAAACACACTGATCCTTTCCACTCACTTCCCTCCTACTTGCATCTGCATCCCGGCATGCTGCGACTGCACATAAATGAACACATTGTGGCAAATACGGAGTGTGAAGTCAGGTAAACGTCACACCGACAAATGACCGCTACTGGGGTTCTGGTCTTGTTGAGAAGTCTTATCTGATGTGTGCTTTGCACTGCCAAAAACGTGCGAGTACGTGCGAGACCGGAGGTCAGGTCTTGGGTATAACTCATGTCTGAACTGTAGGATGGTGCTGGTGTGAGAATCGTGATAAGGAAGAGCTGTAGCTGTTACCAGGGAAGGCTCCTCGGGCTCTGGGGTGCGCGGTGAGCCGTCGGGAGAGGAGGGACAGCTCTGGTCACTGGCATTGGTCACGTCCCCATCTGCCAGGGCCTCAAACGAAGGCAATCCGTCCTCATCCACCGGGATGCTGTCCAGGGTCTCTGTAAGCACTGCCAGCAAGTTGGCCTCATTTTCTTCATCTATCTTCTTAGGAGGGGGGGTAGAGGGGTGGAGAGGGGGGGTAGGGGGTGGAGAGGGGGGAAGACAGAGACAAAAAAGAGAGAGGGGAGGGGGAATGGGACATTTTAGTCAGAAGAAGAAGTTGCATCCCTTTTTCTTTATTTCGGGGAAGTAAAGGTGGTGGGTGGCTTTCATTGTTAATATAGAAAACATTTGTTTTTTCTTGTTTTTTTTATTTTTATTTTTGTGCAGCAGCTGAGCTCACTGCGTTCTGGCAGCCTTTTTTTACAAAAACACAAAAAACCCAAACAAAATTTGCCTCATGTGCATGTGAGTCAAGCCTGTCACTCATATTTTAAGCGAACAGCTTACTGGACCAAAATAATATCTCCCCCAAGAAACCCATTACCAACGCTGACAAGTAGCAAGTATCTGGGGGAAGACAGCAATGGGTTGGGGCAGGCTGCGGTATGGAGGGGTTTATGGTGTGTGTGTGTGTGTGTGTGTGTGTGTGTGTGTGTGTGTGTGTGTGTGTGTGGGTGGGGGGGGATAAAAGGAAACAATGCGCAGAAGTTCGCTCTTCTCTCTCTTCAGCCCACAGCTTCGAGAGTCGTCGCTTGCCGACAAGATGTTTGCGAGCGGCCCTCAGATAAGGGGAAATTACGACTCGCCAAAGCTAAATAAATCTGATTTATTTAAAATTGCTGGTGTGACAGGCTGACATTCACAATGGGAGGGAACTCAGCTTCAACACTTTGCTATAAATAAAGCTTGTTCTTGCTACTCGAGCCCCCTTTTTTGAAGTACAGGAGAAGTTGTGCGCTCGCAGCTTATAAATGTGTGAGGAGTAAAGACAGAGAGATGAATGCATGGAGAAGGCCTTGAGGTGGGGAGGGTGAGGTGTGAGCTGCCAGCTATTGACCGGGGATAATAACGGCATGCGTGTCGGAAAAAAAAGACAGAAAAACAAAGAAAAAGGAGAACGTGTATAGATCAATGTTAAGACTGAGAGTAATGCAGCTCACTTGACAAAGGGGAGCGTGTGAGTCCATGTGAGGAACGACTGTGTCTTTTCGCTCTCTCGTTCTCTTTTGCATCGACAAGTGACAACAGGAACTTAAGGTTCCAAGGCCATAAAAACCCCACGTGGCTTCGGGACAGCAGAGAGATAAACAGCCTCATCACCCTGGGACGTTCTGTGGCCAGCCCAACAAGAGCAAATCCTTTCAAGCACGCGATAGGATTCACGTGGCTCGGCGATGGCACGCGGCCATCATTACGCCGGGGGTAGTCGCCGGCCTCTCAGATATCCACGCTGTTCCTCAGAAAAATCCCACATGCGCACGCTTCTATCTACCCTCACTTATTTAACACAATTACACACACAGCATGGACGCCGCTGTTTTGGATCCGCCGCCGAGATAGCGGCCATTTTAATGCCTCAACCCCCACCCTCCCCTCCTCCAATTTTCATTTACAGATGACACAGATATCTTGGACGTTCACTTAGCTAGCTAACAGTGAGGAAAACGTTAATCTGATGTTTATTGAGTAGATTTTCTCCTAACAACACGAACACTCAGTCATTATTAAAAAATGATAAAGGGGACATATTTCACAGAGATAACGCGGCGTAGGCTGGGGCTGTGCTGCATTGGCAAGCACATGCTTTGCAGGAAATTGCTCTGTATGAGGTGGCGTGCTGTTTAATTACTTTCAAGAAGCTTCAAAATCCACTGTGCTGGAACCCCCGCGCTATTGAAATGCTCACCGTTTTCCAGCATCCCAAGTTATTACCTGAGCACTAAGCGGATAGGTATTAACTGCTGATAAAGCCGGAGCCTTGGCTTAACCCAAACGCACATCCTAGCATGAGAAATTAAAATTTAGGAGCAATTTCAGATGATCAAAACCGAGTCTTTAATGAACTGGCCTTCTGGTTAGGCACTCATTAACCATTCAATCAATGCTCCGTTTAAGGCGTGGCTTTATTTGCCTCGCAAGAGCGACTTTAAACCAATAAATCTATATTGGGAAGAAAGTGCATTACATTAAATGTTGGGAGAGCTGTGCAGGCTTTGTTATGTCATGGTTTGAAAGGGATTGGGGCATTTCTGCAGACTCAAATGTAGTCCTGTTTAAAAAAAACACACACACACATACACACAAAAAACCCTCCACCAATTGGCAGACTCCCACAGGTGTACTGTATCCCCAAAGATAACCCAGAAGGGACTCTCGTATTCTGTAAGAGACACTTGTGAAAACCCTGAGTCGTGACGATCATGCAACAGCCACTGCTGCGGCTCTAGTGGAGGCACTCATAGGCCAAGTGGGGATTTGAGAAACTGGGGTAAAGAGCAAACCTCTGCTCTGGAGAAAGAGAGAGAGGATGATCTAATGCCTCCGTCCACGAGGACGAGCTTTTCCACGCCAGCTTAAAGACCACACCTTGTGCACCAGAGTCAATCTACTGGCAGCGACTCTCTGGCCACTTGTTTATTTATAAACAAAGTCTCCATGTGGGTGGACCTCAGAAGCTATGGCACCCAAAGGGGGTAACACCAGCACAACCTAGCACCTTGCTGACGGCCCGTGTCCGCTTATATTGATTACTACAGCAGCTGCTGAGAGGGAAAAGAGGACAGAAAGAACAAAGAGAGGAGAGAAAAATTGTCTCGGCGGGAGCACTTTCTCGTCCATCCCGCTTAATGGACCTCACCGAATTAAAGAGATCTTAACAATCCTGGGCTAATTGTGGGATCACAATATATTAACCCCACTCCAATTCTAAAGGGTGCCATTTTGCAGCAGTTTTATTCCAAATGCTTCAATTAGCCATAAAACATGCTGGCAAGTGCTGGCAGAGCTTCTCTTTACCCCCCGCTCCTCCTTCACCCCAGCCTCCCCCGCGCTGGAGCAAAGAAAGCCAACTTCAGTTGTTCATTATTAGGTGAGGCCCTTTTGTTATCAGACAGGCTGTCTTTGAGATTGTCCTTGCCTTTAACTCTTTTATTGAGTTCTACAGCACAGCATTATGTTCCAGGAGATACTATTCACACGGGCTGATAACGGAAGGTGAAGGTGCTGCTTTAGACAAACACTCGCTCCTGCACGCCGGGGCAAATAGCCAAATGAAAATCTGCTAATTGCTTCCCGAGGATTCCACGCTTCTTAGCGAATTTGCCAGGGATCAAATTTTAACGGGGGCAATGCGTGATTTACACGTTTAAGAAGAACCTAAAAGTGTTTTGAAAGTGCCAGAATGACAAACCTGGTGGCTGAGTAACATCAGGACGGGGTTTAGACGGGCTAAACAGCCCCTCCGCAATCTTGAATTGAGAAGCAGAACACGCGACAGACACTCTGGGTGCGCGAAGATAAAATATCTCCCATAAAATGGGTCATCTAGTATTTAAAGTGCTGTTTATTCTCGCTGCCTCTTCCTGCTCTTTCTTTCTGTAAATACAAGCACGCCAACCAGTTAGCGCAGACAGAAAACGTGCTTAATAAATTGGCCACAAAATTGGGTGGTAGGGTTAAAGCTACGCCCTGACAATTTAATTGCTTTGCTCCATCTCCATCTTTGTTCTCCCCACCACCACCAACTCTGCTCCCTTCTCTGTCAGATTTCAAAAGCGTTCCCTTGGATGAGGTTAAGCTTGACACGGGCCAGACCTAATCATGGCACAATCAGAAACTGAAGGGTGTGTGTGTGTGTGTGTGCAGCATGTGGGGTTGTGGTATCAAGTCATCACATCTTGACTCTGCCAAGAGAAGCAGCCTTGGATTTGATAAACAAATAATGTCATTCTGTGTTATTACCCCCGGCCCCCAGATTTCAGAGGAAATAAATCAAAGTCAGGCTTGCCGTTAAGGCGTTAGTCAGGCCTGACACGTCGGCTGGTCACACAGGCACAACATATGGCAGCGGGGAAGGAGAGAGAAAGGAGAGGCAGGGAGGGTGAGGTACAACACGGCGCGCGGTGGAGAGACAAATCATGGCAGCCACCAGAGACGTCTGGCCATTTAGCATGAGCTTACTGAGATGGAGAGAGGGTGATTATGGCCTATACGGAGCGATGAAACCATACATAACACTGTTAAGTTCCTGTGAGTGTGTGTGCGCGCGTGGCCGTCTGCGCGAGCGAGGCGGCGGTGGCACACAGTCTGATGGTGTTCCAAATCATAAAACTAAATGTTAAACCTCAATTGTGGTCAGGGCTGTGAATGTTTCACGACATGTAGCTGTGAACTGAACACTCTTGTCATTTTCCATGTGACTAGAAAGTCAACAGAGCATCTCGTTATTCAGAAACCATTTCCAAAGCAAATGATCCTATGAAGTAGATATGGTGGCTCTACATGTTCTGGACACACACCCAAAAAGAAAATAAAGAAATCATAGTACTGGTAGTATAAAATCTTTTGCTTTCTAAATGGAGACAAGCTTGTCCAGCCCTGGCACCAGGCAGCTGATTTTAGCCTTCCCCGTCCTACTTAGCTGTATTTCCATAACTGGTCTGGATAATCCTTTTTTATCGGGCACAAAGTCACTATTTTCCATTTAAACAAAAACGGCAAATGAGAGAGTGATGTCACAGGAGTCGACTGCTTAGATGCCAGATGCCTATCCGGGTTTAGAAGGCTACGTGAGTTATAAATCAGCGAGGAAACGGTTCGAGCCATCAATAAGGAACAGGATGTGTGTGCGCGCGCGGAGTTGATGCATCTCCGGGGAACCATTTGAGACTGTTACAGCACTATCAGATGAGTTGATGGGGGAATGAGAGAGGAAAAAGGGAAAGTGAAAAGAGGGGATATCTTTCTCTGCGTTTGTGTGTGTGTGTGAGACAGAGTGAGCCGAAGAGAGAAAGAGAACTCTTGTTACACTTTTTGACACAGGCCAGATCCGATTGTGACACCTACCCAAGGGATGTTAGCAGTGCTGTTCTTTCTGGTTCTGTGACGGGGAAAAAAAAAATCCTTTGACTGGTAACCTTGCTGCTCAAACTCACCACCTGAAC